GGAGAACCCCCAAGCATTCTAGTAATAATGTGATCCGCCAATATGGACTAATAATTAATATGGACTAATCATTACACCAAAATGAGACACGACCAAACGTACGAATAACAGACACCTACATAAAAAGGACCGCAAAAAGTGAAGCGACACTAAGTTCAGTAGGAGTGACCCGAAGGAAGAAGAGAAATCTATGAAGAAGCAGCTGCGGCTATCTTCAAGATAGAAAACCATTGTGATAAACGTAAAGGGGAGAGCTCAGAAAATACCGCCGCTCACCGCACCGACATGCGCGCGAATGAATATACATATTGTAGTTTTGTTTACACAACATCGTTGCATACCTTATGTATTGGGCTTATATGTGTATAGCACACTTTAATGTGTGTCGGTATAAAGATATGAAATCATGTTTTATTGCTAGATGTTTATTATTCAACAAAATGTTGGGAGCTTAGTTTCGGAAAAGAAGAGTCTTCGCTCTAGACCAAAATCTTCACTGTTGTATTTGCAAGACATATACAACATTACTACAGCTTTATTTAACAGAACGAAACAAAGTAAAAGACGTCTTACAAACGGTGAACTCAGAAAACAAAACATGATGAGTCCTTTATTATACCAGCTGAAGGCCACCATCAGTTGGAGATCATTGAAGTAAAAATTGGTTACCTATGCTCCGTGCTCAGTGTTATCTAATTATTACCCTTTTAACTTCCTGTGCTAAGCATGTCATCGACTACAATTCAGTAGGCATTTTTTGGAGCAATTTCAAGAAAATGCATGCATTGCATCATGTTAACAACTTCTTTTGGTTTCTAAAAATCAGTCTTCCGTTCCTTGACTATCGGTATTTCTCATCGCCTTCTTTCCAACTGTATCCTGACTTCTTTTGGCCAGATTGTACCAGTGTCTCTGACAGTCATCACAATCTTAAAAACGGCACCTTTGAAAAAAAATGAAATCAATTCTTCTCAATATATTCCCCGCTATCCCATATGGGAGCTACTAGCTAATGTCGGACGCTTGTGTACCGCTCGCATTGTGAGAAATAGTTGAAAGCTGGCACCCTAGAGTAATCTCAGGTCCTCAGGACGGGAAAGGAAAAAAGGAAAGGATAAAGAAAAAAGAAAGGAAAGGATGGAGGAGTAGAAATCTTTGCTGATATTTCGTAATGTATGAGGTAGAACAAAACAAAAAAAGAAAGAAACAAAGGTTCCGCCTCAGATTTGGCGTCGGCGATCTACGGCGCATTCAGAATAGCAAGAACAACATATAGGAGATTTACGAAGTATAGCCCGCTCTTCACAGCTGGATGATTGAATTGTGATTTATTTGGACTCTCCAATGTTCAGATACTCGTTTCAGATTAGAGAGCAGGCTCTTCGGAGTGGAGCAGGAGCACCTTAGCAATGTTTCCAATAACCCTTTACCTCAAATGGTTCGATGAAATGGATACGAGTAATGAGCACGAATGAAATCAAGCAGAATTCATCACGCTACCGGGTCCAATGCACTTTTCCATGCCCACAGCTTTCATGTTCCTCAGATCTGGATTGCACTGGATATACCTCATCTGCAGTCAATTTTGAGCCGGTAATCTGCTATTGTATAATCTCTGAACAGGGCAGACAGCTCTGTATTCTGTTGAAATTGTTGAAGGTAGCACGTGCTATTACACCTGTTGGCAAAGAAAAAAGAAAAAATATTGAGAAAGGCCGTATTCCTCTTGCGGTAGGATATCTGGGATAAAAAGCCTTGAAGAACTGGGCTCATCGAGGCGAGAGAACGACAGATGGAAACTAGAAAGCGGAAAGGGTAGAGAAACTCATTCGCAACTGTGGGCGTGTACCGAACACGGAATCGGAATGAAGCTGGCATGAATCTTAAAGAACTATTCCCGGAAAATTCTTGCATTCTTTTTTAACAACCATGTCAGTTATGATCACTGGAGACAACATACGAATTCTTACTAAAAGCACACCTTATGGACAATCGAAGGTAAGTGGCCGGAGCCAAAGGCGGGGCATGGAAAAAGTCCGCCTTGAGGCGGCTACGTATCAGGCGGGTTAAAGCGCGCGATTTTGGAGAGTAGAGACAAATCGATCGATAGAATAGGATGCAGTAGAAGTGTGAGATGTGAATGCAATAAGTCAAAAGGCCAGAAAGAGTTTCTAGTGAAGGCACTCCAAGAACCAAGTGGAAGCATTCCCGTCGCCAGCATTTGTGACAGATGTCCGGCGGTACTTTGAACGCGTAGCAGCCCTTTCGGTTTTTCGAATTTTTACCAAAACAAATGCAATTTTTGTTCTTATCGTGAACGATGGGTCCCAAGCCAGTGAATTATGGGTGAGATAGAATCATATTCTTC